AAATACTACTCATCTCTTCGTCATTATCCGTTATTTGACCTGTCTCAGTTTTTAATGGACCTATACTTTCCTGAAATGCTACGCATGCTAGTGGCTGTACAAGAATGTAAGAACTGTAAGAATATAAATACAGTGAAAAAATATATATTGACATCATGGACAATTAGAATTTGGTACTAGTGTTCAGTTTATGGAGTCTGGAAAAATTAAGCTAAAAATCAAATTTAAATGTGCCTAGGCCTGGTGTAGCATATACTGTATATATACTATACTGTATTAGCCTTCAGATAGCATGCGTTAGGCCTAGGATGGTTACTTTAAGTTAGGTTTTATTTAGAGCGTAAATGCAAAACCTTTTCCAGTTTGTTCAAATTCATTAGTAATATACTGTACTAAATTCTACTTTCTAATTGTCCATTACATGGACATTGACCACAGCCCCTTGTTCAGTTCAGACCATTGTTCACAACACCTTGAGAAAGGATGTAGATTGCATCCCAAAATTTGTTTTTAATACACTTACACATGCATTGGGTCTTTCCTTCACCTTCATTTAAGCACTATGGCATTGTAGTAAGTTTCTTAAAATTTATTGTATATGTATGATGGTCCACATCGTTACTATAAGTATTGTCCAAGTATAAGTCCAAGGTTCATGCCCGAAACGCTTTGCGTAATAATGGCTTTAGGCATTGTATGTACTAGCTCTACCTATAAGTCAACCAATCTTTGTAAAAATTTCTTGTATGTATGTACCTTACCTAAATAAACATTTATTTATTTATTTATTTATTTATTTATTTATTATGGCTGTCCAGAGACTACTCAAGGGTGGTGCAAGGTGTCCAAGTGTTCGGTGACCTTTCTTTGGGAATCACTGACTAAAGGACTGGTATTAATATGCAAGGTTGAATGTTCTTTTGAATAGGACAAAATTGTGGTGACCCACCTAATGGGGAAGGGGGACCCACCTAATGAGGACCTTCTTCTGGGAAGAAGTAAGGGCTGTAGATATTGATAGATAGTATTTTGTTAAATATGAAGCACAATACAGAATATTGTTGGTTGCTTTATCTACATAAACAGTTTACCCATTTTAGTTTAATTTCCAGATCCTTGTTGCAGAAAATGTACAAAAATTCACATTACAGGTATTTAGCTCATGTCTAGCACAGTACTGTACCACTTTCTCTTTCTATATGTAAAAATTTACATTTATCAAAACTAACTGTATCTGCATTTGGAATGTTCAGACTTACTGAGATTTTACTTCAGCTTTTCAAACTCTGAATTTGTTCCCAATTTTTTTCTATTTACCGCATATAAGTTGATATATTTCTACCAGTTCTTCCAAAAGAACATAAATTGAAAAGCCAAGTGCTTTATTTTACTATACTAGTTTAGAAAAGGATGAGCTTGCTGTAATAGAAAGAAAAATATTTATATCAGTCCTTATCATGAAGCTTATGATAAGTAGGTTCCTGTTAATTTATTCTACGATATTGTACATCCTTATTTTGGCATTGTACTACGTATAACTATGAACATGAACACTGATGCAGTGATTGTCTTGTAAGGGTGATTGCAATATGGTAGCCATAAGAAAATCATTATTTCATTTATTATTTTGCCTGATACCATTTATCCATGTTTTATCATTAGGTGTTGTCTCTGCAATTATTATTTCACTAATGATGGAGGCAACACCTGGCATTTCCAGATTTTTCTGTAAACGGGAAACAGAAGTGATAAGAGCATTGTCCTTAAAACTTTTATTATTATAAGGTTATTATTATATTTAAACTTGAAAAGTTTTGGGAATAATTGAAATATAAAGGTTGATGCTTGGCCAATTAGCCCTTAGGGCATTGAGTAATCTGGATACTGAATTATTGTAGCTTACATGCAGTATTTGGTTCATAAATATTATATGTACAGTGGTACCTCGGAATGCGATTGTCCCTGTATGCGAGGTTTTCGGAAGGCGAGGTGTATTTACTCCAAAAATTTGTCTCAGAAGGCGAGGGTTACTTCGGGAGGCGAGTTTGGACACGAGTTTGTTGATACGTGTACAGCCGACCTAGCGCGTTCGTCGCCCCTCCGCCCCTCAGTTTATTATTGTCTCGCGCTCAGTGACTACCCCCACATCAATTCTTCTCGTGGATTTTCAGTGTTTTGTTGGATTTTTGGTGATTTGTCTATACAATTTGTTATTATATATCTCACCATGGGTCCCAAGAAAGCCAGTGGTAAGGATAAAGGCCAGAAAGCTCATGTGAGGATGACAATAGAGGAGAAACAAGAGATCATTCGGAAGCATGAGAACGGTACACGTGTTGTTGAACTTTGTAGGCAGTACAACAAAGCCACATCAACAATATGCACTATACTTAAGAAGAAAAATAAGATTATGGGTGCTAAAGTGGCAAAAGGAGTAAGAACATTAACGGCACAAAGACCACAAATACTTGAAGAAGTGGAAAAGTTGTTATTAATTTGGATACACGACAAGGAGTTGAGGGGTGATAGTGTTTCGGAGGCCATTATTTGTGAGAAAGCCAGGGTGTTGCACGAAGACCTTCTAAAGAATACCCCTGCAACGAGTGATGCAGATAAGAAAGAGTTTAAGGCAAGCAGGGGCTGGTTTGAAAAATTTAGAAAGAGAAGTGGTATCCATAGTGTTACAAGGCATGGGGTTATGTGATGTGATTATGGAAGGGGACTCCCCTTCCAAACAGTAACTCCTCTCCTCCTCCCCCCTCCTCACCATCTTCCATACGCCTACAGCACTCGACAGCAAGGTAAGTAATAACTGGAACACAGTTTTGTAGGTTTATTTAGATGAATTAGGTAAATTAGGTATAAAAATTTAGTTTGATGTGGGGTTTTTGGGGTAGTCAGGAACGGATTAATTCATTCCCCTTTATTTCTTATGGGGAAATTAACTTCGGAATGCGAGTTTTCGGAAGGCGAGGCGTCTCCAGGAACGGATTAAACTCTTATTCTGAGGTATGCCTGTAAGTCACATTGTTCTAATTTTAGTTACTGTGCTGTGAAAGACCCAATATATATATGCGAGTGTATTAAAACCAAGTTTTCGGATCCTTTCTCAAGATGATGTGAACAATGTTCACATTGTTCACACTTTTGGTATGTATACCATTGTTCACAGACAGCACCTTGAGAAAGGATGTAGGTTGCATCCAAAAATTTGTTTTTAATACACTTGCACATACATTGGGTCTTTCCCGCATCATAATTTAAGCACTAGCATTGCAGTAAGTTTCTTAAAATTTACTGTTGCATACTTACTCAATTCATCTTAAATATGTAATACAGTACTGTATATTAATAGGGTTTTCTGTTTTACCATGATTGTTTACTAGTGTGCACTTGTATGATGCAGCCTTATACTAACAGTGCAAATGTTTCATAAAAAAATATATCTTGATCACAACACAGCACTGAAGAACTTAATGACTCCAGATGCATTGTTGCCACATTTGGTAAACAATACTCTAGGTTAATGGTGTAGAGTTATGGTATACAGTATATTCAAGCATTTTTGGGATTATTTGAAACAAATTTTGTTTTGTTATGTACAATTAATACAGTACCTGTACTGTATTTTGTTTTAATTGAAGAATTGTGTTGAAATACATTGAAGTACCGTACAGTATATTTAAGGGTCCCAGTAGTACAGTCGGGTTCGTTCTTGATTCACAATCGGGAATTCCGGGTTCAAATCCCGGGCGGGACAAAAATGATTGGGTTGGGCACATTTCCTATCACCTAATACCTCTGTTCACCTAGCAGTATGAAAGTACCCAGGAATTAGTCAGCTTGTTGTGGGGATGCATCCTGGGGAGGTGGGGGTCAGTAATTCGACCTTGAAAACAAATGCACCACAGATTTTGTGTTTGAAACATTCTCAATCATACGTATTAGGTGCACTGCAACTTGTCAATTGTAATATTTTCAGTACTGTCTCATCTGATGTACAGTTTTTTAATATTTAAACTATAACATCATCAACACTCTACATGGTGTGGTATTCTTAAACAAGAACCATGCACCCATATTTACTAATGCTCATCAGAGTGAGTGATGTAACAATTGGTTCAGGACTTGAGTAACTGGACATAGGAAAAGGTTCCTCTAACAAAGGTGTTAAGAGCATAAGAAAGAAAGAAAGAAAAAGAAACACTGTAGTAAACCTACTGGCTCATGTCAGGCACCCAACGTTAATCCACAGCCCTTTGTTTGCTGGCCAGATGATTGATTCTTTTTATGCATCTGTAATAAGTTGGAAGAGGGTATGCAAAGAGTGAATTATGAATGGCAGGACAAAGGGAAGAATGCTTTATTGGAAGCTGTGTGGTTGTGTGGGGTAGGAAACGATGAGGGCAAAGGGCCAGGCCATTATGGCTATATAGCACTTGGAAGGGGTCAGGATAAGGATTTAGGATGGGATGGGGGAAAGGAATGGAGCCCAACCACTCGGGGATTGAACGCCGACCTGCATGAAGCGAGACCGTCGCTCTATCGTCCAGGCCAAGTGGCTGGTCGGGCTGTGTGGGGAGGAAAGAAAATAAGTAAGGTGTACACATTGGCAAAAGTTTGCACATAAAGTTAGGAATAGAGTAGCTTACAGGGATTTTTTCCCACAGTCAATGACATTTGGTAAAAAAACTGGTTTTGCATTTGTTGCTCAATGATAGCGAGTAGGCATGCATTTTCATGGTCTCTGTTGGAGTCCCATGTATAGTGCAGTGGTCTTCAAAATATATTATTCTTAATATTTTATCTGGTCTAGCTGCATACAGCTTACTATACTATATTATCTTTTTTTGTCATAATACCTGTACAGCATACACATAAGGTGAGAATAAGCAGACATGCTTATTTTGTACTTATAAAAATCTTGAATAATTTTTTTGTAAAATAAATTTTTATTGTTTTATGATAAGAGAGCTTGAATCCACACCAATTTCTTGCAGGAAGCCAACCAGAAGCTTCGTCAGCATCATTGTCTTGGCTGACCAATGAGAGCTGTCCTCCAGAAGCTGGTCAGCAGATAGCGCCAACACAGCCCCAGAGGTCAGGTGAAGATGATGCCTTATACAGTTGTCACCTGGATTAGCAAGTTCTTGCTGATGCTGTTGTTTTTGTAATGTGCATGGTGCTTTCTGTCTGTTGCATACAGGGATTTTTTGTAGATGGTAATCGTGTGGAAATTTCTAATCCAGTATTTTGATCAATGATTGTTTAAGATTGTTCAGAGAATAACCTCAACTGTAGTTTTGATTGTTGGCTTTCATAATTTCTTTCAAAAATTTAATTTACCTCTTGCCAATATTAAATTTGTCTACGTTTTTTGAGGGAGCGCTTATTGGCTCCCCTGAAGCTATCATGCTGATAGCTTCAGGGAGTTATCACTAAGGTAGCTCCATTAGCTTCATGCCAATGGGTCACATAATTTGCGGGATTTGTGTTTGGCCTACTCATTCGCTGCTACTTTGGTGTCATTCCCGCACAATTGTCTAATAAATTTTTGACGCCATACTGCGTCTTGCCCATGCCAAAGTGTTAAATTAATTAATAATGACCTATCAATATTTGTTTCAACTACCTTGTCAAATGAGGCAGTTTTTAGCCTCTATTGTGCTGAGAATTGTGAATAAAAATTTGGCCCATAGTGTCTTTATTTTTTTAAATAGTATTAGAAAAAAATATTGTTTTACGTAAGTTCCTCAAAAGGCAAGTATTTTTGTTTTGCTAATTAGTGTTTGTATATACAGTGGTACCTCGGAATGCGATTGTCCCTGTATGCGAGATTTTCGGAAGGCGAGGTGTATTTACTCCAAAAATTTGTCTCAGAAGGCGAGGGTTACTTCGGGAGGCGAGTTTGGACGCGAGTTTGTTGATACGCGTACAGCCGACCTAGCGCGTTCGTCGCCCCTCCGCCCCGCCGCCCCTCAGTTTATTATTGTCTGGCGCTCAGTGACTACCCCCACATCAATTCTTCTCGCGGATTTTCAGTGTTTTGTTGGATTTTTGGTGATTTGTCTATACAATTTGTTATTATATATCTCACCATGGGTCCCAAGAAAGCCAGTGGTAAGGATAAAGGCCAGAAAGCTCCTGTGAGGATGACAATAGAGGAGAAACAAGAGATCATTCGGAAGCATGAGAACGGTACACGTGTTGTTGAACTTTGTAGGCAGTACAACAAAGCCACATCAACAATATGCACTATACTTAAGAAGAAAAATAAGATTATGGGTGCTAAAGTGGCAAAAGGAGTAAGAACATTAACGGCACAAATACTTGAAGAAGTGGAAAAGTTGTTATTAATTTGGATACACGACAAGGAGTTGAGGGGTGATAGTGTTTCGGAGGCCATTATTTGTGAGAAAGCCAGGGTGTTGCACGAAGACCTTCTAAAGAATACCCCTGCAACGAGTGATGCAGATAAGAAAGAGTTTAAGGCAAGCAGGGGCTGGTTTGAAAAATTTAGAAAGAGAAGTGGTATCCATAGTGTTACAAGGCATGGGGTTATGTGATGTGATTATGGAAGGGGACTCCCCTTCCAAACAGTAACTCCTCTCCTCCTCCCCCCTCCTCACCATCTTCCATACGCCTACAGCACTCGACAGTAAGGTAAGTAATAACTGGAACACAGTTTTGTAGGTTTATTTAGATGAATTAGGTATAAAAATTTAGTTTGATGTGGGGTTTTTGGGGTAGTCAGGAACGGATTAATTCATTTCCCTTTATTTCTTATGGGGAAATTAACTTCGGAATGCGAGTTTTCGGAAGGCGAGGCGTCTCCAGGAACGGATTAAACTCTTATTCTGAGGTATGCCTGTATCACATTATCATGTGTGTAACCCTGCAAACACACAATGTAACGGTTCCTATGATTCGCTTGCTACAACTTGTAATAAAGTTGTTACATCTTGTTATAAAGTTTTTATGACGTATTAGAACATTGTTACAACTTGCTATATTGCTTGTTACAATTGTTAGGTATTACAACTTAACACTTTCGCGCTCCGTGGAAACTCGCGGTTGACAGGGGGTAGGTGGCCCCTCCATGCGGGTAAGCGCGCGGTGACACCCAAATGTGTATATTCGTTCCAGCTTTATCACCTTAATTCTCGTGCTACGTCGCTCGTTTTGGTATCATTGTGTTCGCAATTAAATTCTCTACAGGTGTGTATAAATATAATGTCCAAAAGCCTAGCGTGACTCCCAACAGCAAAGCGTAAAGTCGGCAAAAACGCACAAAATCAGTAACATGTGCATTCTCGTTCCATTTTTTTACCTTAATTCTCGTGCTACGTCGCTCGTTTTGGTATCATTGTGTTCGCAATTAAATTCCCTACAGATGTGTATGAATAAAATGTACAAAAGGCTGGAGTGCCTCCCCGCAGAAAAGCCTAAAGTTACCCGTGAACGAGCACCATTTTGTACATTGCAACCTAATGTTCAACTCGTTCAATTTGATAACATCAAATTTCGTGCTACGTCGCTCATTTTGGTATCAAATTGTTCGCAATAAAAAGGCGATTATTTTAAAACTAGTCCCAGAATAATAGAGCAATAACTGGATTTTTAACAAATATTTTAATTCTGGACGCTCATCATCACAAATTTATTTATATCTTTCCAGTGTTCTGACATAAATATTTGTGTTACATCTTTCATTTTGGTATCAAATTGTTCGCAATAAAAAGGCGCACATTTTAAAACAAGTCCCAAGATAATAGGACAATAAATAGAATTTTAACAAATATTTTAATATTCAGACCATAGACCTATTTATAATATTTCAAGTGTTTGGACATCAAGTTTCATGTTATATCTTTGATTTTGGTATCAAATTGTGTGCAATCTAAAGGCGCTTATTTTAAAACCACTACCAGATTGATCTGATAAAATTTAAATTTTTAAAAAATATTGTAATGAGTGACTCAGTATTGCGTCGTTGGAACACATTCAGTAGAAAAGTGAGTGACGAATTATTCAGTCTGTGGAACGCGAAAGTGTTAAAGTGAGGGCCTGACGGCTGAGTGGACAGTGCTCAGGGTTTGTACAGTAGTCCTAAGGGTCCGGGTTCATTACCCGGCTGAGTCAGAAACAAATGGGCAGTGTCTTTCACCCTGATAACCTAGCAGTAAATAGGTAACCTTGGAGTTAGACAGTTGCTACGGGCTGCTTCCTGAGAATATGTGTGTGTGAAAATTAGCATTAAGGACTTGCCCGAAATGCTTTTATTGCTGAGATACCAAAATGCGTGCTAGTGGCTGTACAAAAATGTAAGAACTCTTGTATAAGAAGAAAAAACCTTGTTCAAACGTCGTAGCAGTGTCGTAGTATCGTGTGTTTGGCAGATAAATAAGGGTGTAAAATCTTAGTGTGATAATTTAGTTTCTTTTAATTTCATCATTTACTTTAATTACTGTATAAAGACAAACAAGGAAAAGCATATAAATATTATAAATAGTATTACCATTGAAGTTTTCTCATACCAGCTGCCAGTCCTTGTATCATCTCCTGCCAGTTTTTTCTGACTGGCTGGCTTTGCCTTGTGGGTTCCAAACCTAATGGGGTTGGCTGTTCAGGTTGTCAGACAAATTTTACTGATTTACAAAAGACACTCTTGGTGGGAAAATGTGCCAGAGGTATGATAGACAGTCAAGCTAATAACATGCTTGATATTAGCGAGTTAAAGTACAAAAGAATACTTTTTTTTATAAAGGTAAAGGGGGGGTTTATTTTTAGTGTTGTATACCTGACTGTATTTTAAGTTTATGAAGAATGCTGGGCTGATTCAGATATTATTTGTTTACAGTGATGTGTCAGAAGAAGCAGAAAACTCCAAAGAAAGTGGTGAAGCTTCAGAGTCTCCACCACCAGAAGAAGCCAAACCACCACCTCCAAAAAAGAAGAAAAAGAAAAAAAGGAAGAAACACAAATCTCACAAAAATGACTCCAATGTTGAAGAATCTAGTGATGAGGTAAACAGGCCGAGAAAGAAACACAAAGACAAAAAACTTCGAAATACCGTTACCAATAAACGTTCATCTGAGTCTCGAACAAGGTCTACTTCTCCACAGCGAACCATAGATAAAAGAGCAAGATTGAGGTCACATTCCAGATCAGGATCACGGGCAGGATATATAGAGCCCAGAAAAATGAATTCTCGAAATAGATCAAAATCACGAACTAAAAGATCAAAGTCAAGATCCAAAAGGTCCAGGTCATGGTCAAGAAAGAGAAGGTCTATATCAGGGCCAAGAAGCAGAAGGTCTGATTCGTGGTCAAGAAATAGAAGGTCCGTATCAGGCCCAAGAAGCAGAAGATCCCGGTCATGGTCGAGAAATAGAAGGCCGAAGTCAAGGTCAAGAAGCAGAAGATCCAGGTCATGGTCGAGAAATAGAAGGTCTAAGTCAGGGTCAAGAAGCAAAAGATCCAGGTCATGGTCAAGAAATAGAAAGTCCAAATCAAGGTCAAGAAGCAGAAGGTCCAAGTCTCGGTCAAGAAGCAGAAGGTCCAAGTCAAGGTCAAGAAGCAGAAGATCAAGATTGAGAAGGTCTAGATCAGGATCGAGAAAATCTAGTTCCAGGTCAAGATCAAGAATAAAAAGATTTAGTCCAAGGTCAAAATTGAGAAGATCCAGGTCAGGCTCAAAGAAAAGAAGAGGCAATAGACTGCCACAGTCACGTTTTAGAAAAAGGTAAAAAAAAAAAATACAAGTGTTTTTCGTTACATTATTGTACTGAGGGAGGGAATTACTGTATTAGGGAGAAAGCGCCAAGTCATGATGACTATATAGCACTGGAAGGGGGTCAGGATTAGGATTTGGGATGGGTCTAGGGCAAGGAATGGTGCCCAACCACTTGGGCGGTCGGAGATTGAACGCTGACCTGCATGAAGCAAAACTGTCGCTGTATCATCCACCCCAAATGGTTGGGCATTGTTGTACTGAGGTTGCTAAGATTATTTTTGCTTTCTTTACCCATGAATTAGAGGTTGATTAATTTTATGAATATTGTAGAATATGGTGACCTGCATATTTGTCAGCTTAAACAGTGACATTTTTTGCCATCTTGTTTTTCTATTTACCGGTAATAAGTATAATATTCCATTAATTGCACCCAAATATCCACCAAGGAGTCTTTGTTGATGACATTTTGCCAAGCCTCTTAATCGTAAAGTAAAGGCCTTTACCTTCCTAGTACAGTGGAACCTTGATTCAATGATGCTCAATTTAATGAATCTCCAGTTGCAACACACACGTTCAACATTGGCTTTTCTGTGGGGAGCCCCTTCGGCTTCTTGGAGCTATCGGGCTAATAAGCGATATATTAGACCAGGGCATTAGTCAATGGAGTTCAGCCTACCGGGGACCACGAGCCAGAACTTGGCCCCCTCAGAGAGGCACTGGGAGCAATGGCCCCTGAAAACTTCCCTGTGGTTAGGGGGTTTCCTAATCTGCCATCGACCAGGATTAGGCATCCAGAAAGGTAGGCATAAGAAAACAGACCCCACACGGTAAGAAAATTACAACCGAAAGCCGAACAGAGAGGCAGAACTCCCCCTGCCTTTCTCCCTGCCTCCGTCTGCGACAACCGAACTCAGCAACCCTAGTTCATTGGCTATTGCGATCTAGGGCTATCGTTGACTCTGGCCGCAATTTCCAAGCAGTGAACAAGCAAATTCCCAAGGGAACAAGTAAACAGCACACACCGCTGCTGTGCCGCTCCCCCCCCCCCCCCCCCCCGAGTTGGGAGGATTCCCCCCCCCCCAACCCCCTTGGAGACCCAGACCATCTGTTCCAGCTACCCAGCAACCCTATGTCATTGGCTATTGCAATCTTAAATGTTTCAAGCACACAAATGCTTGAAATACTTAAACAAATATAATTTTTGTGTATGTTGGTAAAAGATTTTATTAAATTAAGTTGGCTAAAATAGGACTTACACAGACAGAGGGTAAAGAAGAAATTAATGTGTGAACAAGTTAGGAGTTAAAAGTTGAAATAAAGTTCAGGACAGTACTGTATAATAGAAAGAAATTAGAAGGTGGTACAAAAAACTATAGTGTATTTATTGTAAGTGGTGTCTCATGTGACTTGAGAATTTGAAACAGATCCAGAGGATTGCCATACGGTACTGTATAATAAATATAGAAACCCCTACTTGAATATATCAGTGGTTGGTGCTTCCACAGTTCATGAAAATCATCTAATCTGTCCGTGAAAAAAGTAAATTCTTTGAATTTGATTTTCTAATTTGATGTTCTCTAAAGATACTTTAATGGTTTTTAATTTTGAATTTCTATAACCATGCTTTCTCTTTAGTGAAATTGTCATTTGTATTTCCAGTAGATCAAGATCTTATTCACCATATGTATCAAAGAGACGATGGAAATCGAAGTCACGATCACGGTCGAGAGAACACGTAAGACGTAAGAATAAGGATAAGAAACCCAAAGAAAGTGAAGAGAATTACTTTCAGTAAGTTTTTTTTTAATTGTTCTACAGTATATTGAATTGTTCTTTATATTTATGAATTTTGATTATTAAATGTAAATGCAATTAGTGTTCATACTCTACGTGTCTATACAGTATATTTATGGAAGTGTCGTGCAGGTATTTGTATGCACATACTTACATTTCAAGATCCTGAATAGAAAGCTTCACAAATTTTTGGAGCCAAGTAATATATTTTTTTCTTTAGGTCAGAAAAGATAGTATCAAATAGCAAGAGCATCTTCCTTGAGGGTCTTCGTGGATTGGTAAAACCTGAAGAAGCCTTCTTTATCAGCCAAGATGGTGACAGAAACAATACTTTATTTCCAACGACGCATTACTCTCAGTTGGCAAGGTATGCATCTGGGAATTTGGCGTACAGTAATAGTGTTAGAACAAATTATGGGTAAATTTGTCATACTTTAAGTAAAAAGAAAATTTATGCTTTAAGAGGTGTCGAGTAAGGAACACTCACTTGCATGAGTGCTGGCTCAGACAGTGCTCCAATCTCTAAACAGTTTTTTTTTTATCCTTAGGCAGCGAAAGACTATTGAACACAAATCCTTAACATTTCTCCCATCTCACTTCTGGTTATTTCATCCTTAAGATATAAGTTTGAAGACTTGTGTTTCTGTTAGTGTCAGTCACTGGCAAATTGGTTAGTATTATTATTATTAACATCTTTATTGACAAAATTAATTACAATTTTGCCTAATCTGAGGATTTTGATAGTCTTATTAAAGTGAGGATAATGCTGGTATTCACTGTCACGCATTGGTTAGTGAGCTTCATTCTCTACTACGTCATCCTGGCTTATTTAGCTTTGGCCATTGTGACACCCTTGCTTGTCTTTGATCCCATTTTGTTCTGGTGAAGATGTCTTCCTTCTGTCAGGGCTCAGTCCTTGTTTGTGAGGCTAGTTACCATGTCCTGTGCCATGTTGCTGCCATTTTTCTGGTGTCTTTGGAATTTTGGCCTTTGTTTCCTATGGTGACCATGTTGTAAAGTCCACTAGTCACAGCTTACTGTCAGGTTGGTTAAGCTCAGCCAGATTGCAGTGTATCTCTGGATGCATAACATGTGGAAGTTTGCCAGACTATGGCATTCTTGTCCTTAATGACTTGCACAAATGTTAAGGCCTGGGGATTTTTGGTGATTACTGCACCTTTGCCAGACTCTTCCTTCCCTTCAATCAACATTTTCATTGTCAATATGTGGTGTTAGTGTATCTGCTTCTTTGGGGCTCTTGTTATCCATGCCCAAGCTGATGCCCTCCAAACTCTCCTAGGGACTGTGACACAGGATAACTTTTCCCTCTCTTTTACTATGTGGGTGGTTGTGGTGAATCTTGTGAAAGGGAGCTAGTCATTGTCACTTCTCTGTTGTCCCTTTCTCCTACCCTTTTTTCTAGAGGTGTGTGGGATGTTAGCATGATAGCAGCAGCCAGGCAGGCACTTAATAATTGTTAGGAGAAATAAAGAATATATGGCAGTTTCTTAAATTTCATGTATTCACTGGAGCAGATTTTGAGTGCAAAATAATGTATCTTTTGCTGTTTATTATGTGCTAGATTGAGAATCTTCAGTATCCTGTTATGGCCTGGTGGGTGCAGCTAGATCAGATCCCTGCAGTGTTTAAAGATGGGAAGTTGCATTGACTCAAGCTGGAATTTATAATATTCTAAGAACAAAATATTATCAAAGGGAGTGACCTTTTCAGATAGAATAATTTCATCTACAAACATACCATTTTTCCAAGATGTGCTGTCCTGTGGATATCTTTTCTAATTGTCCATATGCAATTAAATATTTGAGTTACATATTCATTTTTTTTTTATTAATGCACGGTACCCACTATTTGGTTTACGAGTTGCAATACCATTTATTTATAAAATTGAATTACATATCTGTGTATATATTTATGTTTTTTTCTGTTACAGTTACAAGCTCAGGATCAAAGGAGCTCTTGGAAGTAGTTCTTCAAAGAAAGAAACTGTCAAGTCTAAAAACAAGACACTTAGATACTTCAAGAGAATTGCTCTGAGAATGCTGTACTCTGATGCAGAAAACATTATACTGCTGCCCAAGGAGAGCACTGAAGCCAAAGAAAAGGAACATGGTTATATTCCATTAGGACTAACATATGCAGAGGAAGCCAAGCTGAAGAATGCTGGCCAGCAGTCAGAAGTTAATCCATTGGGAATATATGATAGTGCAACCGAGCATTATTTATTGGGGATAGGAACAGGCAAACAAGAGGAAAGTCAGAGCAGCCACAAAATTGAATATGAGTACTGGCACAAGAAGGCTAAGTTATACAATGAGAGGCTTGGTAAAGAACCAAGTAATATTCCTTTGTGGTTAGAATTTGTTAGATTTCAAGATGATGCATATATTTATCTATTTCAGGGTACAGATTCCAATAATAAAGATAGCAAAAAGAAGCACAAGAGAAATCTGAAAGCTTTAGCCGAGAGAAAGATTTCTATATTAGATAGTGCCATAAAGAAGAACTTTAGGTCTGTAGAGTTGCAATTTCAGCGTCTAGAAATTGGAAAAGACATTTGGGACGACAAAAAACTCAAACAGGAATGGGGTACACTGATTTTCAACTTCCCCAATAAAATAAAAGTATGGCATCAATATCTAATATTTATGAAGACTCACTTCACCTCCTTTAATTTGTCAGCAGTTGTTCAAACATTTGCCAAGTGCACTGAAAGATTACAGCAAATGCACAGTGGTGTGTTCCTGACTCATTCGCCGCCACCTGATCTTGGCAAGTGCTTAGTAGACATAGCCGTTCAACTTGCACATGTTTGGCGACAAGGTGGTTACATGGAAAGATCAATTGCTCTGTGCCAGGCCCTTGTTGAGTTAAATCTTTATAGCCCAAAGTATTTGTGTACCAAAGACACTCCAGTCGAAGCAAAAATTGCAGTTTTTGAGGCTTTCTGGGATTCACGAGCACCAAGGTATGTACATTACACACTTTTAAATAACCTTTAATCTTCCCATAAACAGCTAATCAGTTATTCTGGCTTGGTGCCTTCTTTTGATAATTACATACTTACTCTTGGCAGATAGTTTTACCATGTTTTAATACTACACATATAATCAAAGTGCTGAATTGTCAGCAATCAGGATTAAGCCCATGTCAAGTATTCTGTTATTAGTGTAAAAGATCATAACCTATAAGTTTGAAATAAAGGAAGTGATGACTTTTCAGTCTGTCCTGAACCGTTATCAACTCGTGTACTGTCAAAGACAAACTGAAATGTTGTCACTTTCTTTATTCTCAGACATGTGGGTTGGGTATCAAATTTTTAGCCACATTATTGTGACTTACTGTCTGCAGTGTAAAGGTACAGCATTAATATTTCATTATTTTGGGTTTAAATATAAATATTTTGAGAGAAATCTCCAATCAATGGGAAATAACAGCTTAAGCTTCACCACCACTTCTTCATGCAGACCTACATGTCTGTGGGTCTGCATGAAGACCTACAGACATGGTTCACGTCTGAACCATGACGTGAACATCATGGCTGTTCAACTACATCTATTCTATTCAACTACATCTATGCATATCTTGTTTCCTAACTCAGGCTTTCATTGCACTCAGTAAATGCTGCATCATTAACAGGGTATAGAGAATGGTCTGTAGATTATGTTAAATACATACTTCATAGGTGCATTACAGTATGTTGTGTTTAAAAGAACAGGGCTTCACTTTCATTTGTTTAGATATTAAGTCTTATAATTGGCTGAATCATTAAAGCAGTATCATCTGGTTTTAATGTATGAAGATGTAAACATGTGTAATAAGTTATGTCATGTTTTGTTATACACTTTGCGAATGTGCATTCATATAACTTTCATATGAACATATGTGTAATTTCACAGATTTGGTGAAGAGAAAGCTATTGGATGGGGTCAGGTCATGGAAAGGAAGCAGAAAGTGGAATTTCCAGAAGTTATATTAAGTAAGTTCGGAGAAATGGAAATTTGTTGTCACATAGGATACATTGAAAGAAAGTAGATATATTACTTGGAAGGAAGGGGGGTAAGTATTTTTATGTAGATTACATTGCACTTATATTTGGATTCTTTGATATTACTTACCTTACTGGACTGGGTGTTATTAAGTTAAATAGCCTTGTGTGACTTTTAGAAATTCTGATGTTGGATAACATACTTTGTATAAAGTGAACCTTATACTGTACAAGGTGTCCAATAAGTTTGGAACCATATGATGAAATGCTAAAACTATCTTATTTTTTTGTGGTTGAAGGGGAGCAGAATGTATTAAATGTTATGGTTAATACACACAAGTAGACAGTGTACCTGATCAGCACTCGCACAGAAAATGGTCTCAGGAGTGATAGGTCCAGACTAATAATATGTAATTTCCATCTTATGGAAATCTCCTTTAGACACTTTCAACATGTAAATTGATCAAGAGTTTAAAATGCACCTTATATAATAATTATTTTATTTTGTGGCAACAGGCAGCCTGTGTATATATACAGTATAAGTTAGGTTTGTATCGACATCCCCAAGGTCGAACTACTGACCCCTCCCCCAGGATGCAAACTAAAAGAAGCTGACTCCTGGATACCTATTTACTGCTCGGTGAACAGAGGCATTAGGTGAAAATGCCTTGTAGTAAGTCATTACCATGATTTTTCAAATAAAAAATGCTTGGAGATAGAAGTGACAAAAAATATAAATTGGAAGATCTCCCACCAAGAAGATTTTCAGCTTCTGAAAAAAAAGATCGAAGATACACTCTAAAATTTTATGGAAATTGTATTTCCGCTTTTTAAGTGCTAATTTCTGAATATAGAAATTAACTTAGTATAAATTATTAAAGGGTGTTGTTTATATTTCAGTGTTCATTACTCGTTACATGCCTTTTTACATGAATTTATTTTATGCTTTGTCCCAAAGGTGGAACACAAGACGAAGAAGATGACATCATAGCCCAAGGAGGGACAACGTCACGGTTGTGGTTAGCCCTCGAGACATCACGAGAAAGACATCATTGGATGCCTTGGGAGCAGGATCCAGAGGACTGTGAAGACCCAGAGAGGATGGTTCCTTTTGAAGAACTCTCACCACATCTCTTTATTTTGGACACTGTTGAGGAGCGTTTTTATCTTATTCTTCAGTTTCTTAAATTTTTTGGTGTACCTGATACTAAAAGTGTCCTGTTACATAGGTCAACAGTAAACAAAGGTCAAAAGATTAATAAGAATGAAAGAAAAAGTGCAAGCAGTAGTGATAATGCTTTTGAGCCACAAATTATTGAAACTTTGTATGATATAGATTTGTTTGGCCTGCATTTTCAGTTCAGAAAAGCAGATAAAAATTGTGAGATTCTGAATTTTGATACTGTTGGGCCATCTTTATTAAACACTTCGTGTGAGAAGTATTACGAATTTTTGTGCCGGCTGCTTCAGCAGGCATCGGATGTATTTGAACAATCGTATAGAAATAAATTAACGGTTTTGTACATAAAGTTCTTGAGTGAACAATATTTAATTAAAAAGAAAAATAATTATGATAAAGCAATGCTTAAAAATTTTGGTAGAGAATTAAAGAAGCATATAAAAAATACTTTAAAATTGGAGGAATTTAGAATGTACCTACCGGTGTACCAAGAATATGGCAAAGTAGAAGAAAATATGGGACATTTTGATGAAGCTGAGAATGTGTATGCAACAGCTTTGACCATTGGAACGGTCACAGGAAATGCACTGGATGTTGCTAATTTAGATTTATCTGCTGTTATGGACCTTTATAGTTCCTATATTCATCTTGAAATGGATAGAGAGGCAAAACTGTGCAATGGTAAGCACAGTAATAATGTTATGTATTCACTCTGTTCAATTGTCATTGATGGGAAATTTTCTGTTGCCAATGGATCTCCTGCACCAGGAGGAAATGTCCTCAAAACTAAAAAAAAGCTAAATGAACTACTAGATTTGTATAGTAATTCAATTACATTTAATTCTGACAATAGTGCTACAAAAGACAATGAAAAATTACTGGCAGGCAAACTAGTGATGTTCCTTGCCATTTTGGAGTTACTCACTGTTGGCTTTCAATCTGCTTGTTTAATTTTTGAAGACATCTTTGACAAAATCAATGGCATTTGTAAAGGTCCAGTTCCTCATAAGTTGGAGGATATTTTGTTGCCTTCAGAATGTGTTGTCAAGACTCCAGACTTACAAGAGAAAAGCAAAAACAATGTAGCTGATAAATTAACAATTTTGGAGAGTTTATATGAAGACTATGTGTGGTTAATTGAAGTATCATCTCAGCTGGAGCATCTTGTAAGTGACAGCAGAATGTCACCAGTGTCCCTGAGGAAAGTTCTCACAGCAGCTGTCAAAGTGGCTCCAGAAAACCAAAGATTTCTCCTACTCCTTGCTCAGAACCAAGTAGGTGTTTTATTTCTTTGTAAATTATGGTGGGGGGTTGTTATTTAGCTCAGTACACAGAAAGGTGGCATTTGTAGACTCTACAATACTGTAATTACATTTGATTCAAACTTGTGCATTGTGCATAATTATATTTGTTTATAAATATGACAAGCTTTAACCACTTGGGTTCCATAATAAACTCATATGCATACCACAAATATACACAAAATTATTTCCAAATATTCAATCTTGATTTTTGCACACCTTGTTTTAAGAAATGGTTTGTGGTTCAGTTTGTAGAGCTTTGAATAGAGCCGTACTTCTTCAGAGATCTACTCTCATAACACTGCTCTTTAGTTATACAGAGAAATTTGTATATTAAAAAGTCACATTATTTTTTATTCATATTATTGAATGCCACACTAATTACATTCCTTTACAATATTTGATTCCTTGTGGATAGCAAGAAATGTATTGATATATTATTTTTTGTTATGTATAATTTTTTATCTATAAATATTTGAATTACTTAATATATATTCTTGATACAGAACCATATTTTTCCTGCATTGTTAAATTTTATTTAATTTTGTGTTCACAGTGTCAGCATTATCTCATTTTGGGTTAAGTCAAATGTCAGCTCTGCTGCAGTTGGGTTCAAATAATATCACCTCTACCGTATTTGTGTTCAGATAATGTTGTCTGCACCCATTGTGTTCAGAAATGTTAGTTCCTTCTCATTTACATTGATATAATGTTAACTGACCAAGTTATTGGTATTAGAGTAAGATTGATGGATAGATTAATATAACATGTAAATTAAAATTTTAATTTATAACAAAAGGCGCACTTTTGCTATGCTGAATGTTTCACTTTTTTACTATATGCAAGTTAAAGGTTTATTATCATTTTGAAACCATTTCAATTAACATTGGCTAGACAGATGTATTTGTTTAATTAGAAAGTTTATTTTGCTAACAAGTTGACTTAACAAGTTCATGCACTATTAACAAGTGCATGACTAAACTTTTTAAAAGACATTTCCCATCAAAATTTATGAAATATATGACATCAATTTCATTTACATGATACAACATAGATAACTGATACTGCAGAGTTGGCGTGATCTTCTTGGGGGCTTGGAGATGCACTCTCAGAGAAGTTCGTCTATTGTGGTGTTGGTGTCTCAGATCTTGCCACACATCCAGAGAACCATCACACTCATTGCTAACACAGATGAAGGTCAGTCATTTACTACGATGAGACTAGTATCATAATACTACTTCTAATTTTGCCGTGTGTGTGTGTTACACGAATATTGACATTAAACGATAACAAGCAATTTAAACCATAGGGTCAAGTCACATGCCTGCAATATGTAAAAACTATTTTATAGTCAACATTATATTGTTGATTAGCTGTTTTGCAGCCTTCTAAGAAAGTTGTGCTTAATTTGTTTATAATAAAACAATAACTTTTCATAAAAGTATGGTATTAATGTTTGGTGGCTTGTATAATGTGAACTCTTTAGATACAGTTAGCAATTATACAATGTAATTTATTGTATAGTAATGTAAAAAGTTAGCAATGCTACAAAGTTAGCAATGTAATTTAGATACAATTACAGCAATTAGATACAGTATATTACTCTTCTTAGTAGAATGGTGTGTTAGTATTCTTTTCTAGTATGTTAATTTTGTTGACATTTGTTTTAGGAAGGCTTCTCGGTTGCTGTGCTGAGCCATAGATTCACAATAACTTATATGCTGTTATACAAGTATGTTGGTGACATTACATGAAGAGGGGGAGGTTCATAACTTAAGTTTGTGTGAACAAGAGTCATAGATGTAGAGGTAGTAAAGATGGAGAGGAAATAGATATTGTATTTAGGATTTGGTGAGATGGTGAATGTCACAAGGCAGAAGATAGCATGTAATATTCTACTGAAAAGTTAGAAGGAAGTCTGTACACATTATGTTAGTCAAGTTAAAGGAAGGCTAGGTCCATATATAAGAGATTAGGACATGGGTGGTGCCAATCCTACTGTATTACTATTAGAATTCACTCTCTGTGTGGTGTCTAAGAGATTAATAGCTTTAACGTATAGCAAGTGTGTGCCATCATCCTTGTGTCATCAACCATAAGTCAACATTTACAGATGGGAAAAATGGAAAGAACATTTTTAATTGTGTAGTGTTTAAGTAAAATTTGATAATAAAGAGGTGTATGGATGGGATAAATATTGGCAGCAATGTGTAGGGAGAAATAAAGACTGTCCCAGGTAGCAAAGAAACATGATAAATATGACATCAGGAAGCATTAGAAAGCTACTTATAATATATCTTAACAGTTGGCTAATATGTGTGAACAAGACATAAGAAGTTAGGTTAGGCCAACCTGTCAGGCGGAGAGCGCCTGACAGCTGGGTGGACAGCGCTTCGGATTCGTAGTTCTGAGATTCTGGGTTCGATCATCTTGGTTAGTATAATTATCATTTGAAGTAACCATATATTTGTAAAATTTTCTTTTATAACTAAGATGAACAGTACTGTATATTCGCCTGTATATTGACCTTGATCAAGAATTCCGGGTTCGAATACCGAGTGGGGCAGAAATGGTTGGGCACATTTTCTTTCAGCTAATGTGTCTGTTCACCTAGTAGTGAGTAGGTACTCAGGAGTTACTCAGCTTGTTGTGGGGTTGCATCCTGGACCGGGTCAGTAATGAGGCCTGGGGGGGGGACCCCTTTATAAAAGCCAAAATGTGCATGAGTACACTCTTCCTGTCTTCCTGTCCCCTGACTCAATGAATTAATTGTATTATAGCAGACCATCAGGTACTCCAGTTGATTAAATCTCATATATTTAGTCTTTTGAATTCTCAAACACCAGTTGATTGCAACACTTGCCTTACCTTTTGACTATATCTGGGGAAAATACATTAATGTTATTTACCTCTTAACCACTGCACTGTGCACCTGTTTTTGGCAAAACTTCATAGTGCAATTGTTAAGGACATATTTTTGTTGTTTTTATAAACGTTCAGGTAAAGTTAATGTCAAAATATTTCCAAACTTCACCATTTTTATTTCAAATCACAGTGATGAAAACATTAAAAAAAACATTAAAATATAGCCTAATTAAAAAAAAAGCACAACTCAGAGTGCCTGCACATTTGAGCAGTTAATCAGCTCAGCTAATTAAGTCACATTGTGGTATGACAAAAATAGTTCACAAAACTAACGTAAAAAAAAATCACATTTGGCAATTCAAGATCACAAGGTAATCACAAGCAGTGATTAGAGCCATTTATGGGTTAATAGCCACCATTTTGTGTAGGATATTAAATTCCTTTTTTAACTTAAACCTTAAAACAGATTTGTTGGCATTTAGCAAATTTTTTTATAACATTTACAATTACTAATTTGCTTCATAGGTTCTCTGAGCTGTGGTCACCGCTTGGAGAGTGTGCTGGAAAAAGGAATAAGTCAACCTCCTGGTAACCACTGTCCTCTTCTCTGGAGATTGTACTTGGCTCTAGTTGCTGCTACACGACCGAAGAAACTAAAAGACTTAATATACAGGGCACTCTCTCACTGCCCTGGTATCAAGGTAAAAGGCTCGTTACATGTATTCCAGATTGGATTTAATATTTATTCTGTTCATTGTTGGGGGAAATATTTTATTAACACATCTTTTAAATTTAGATTCTCACTACCTCAGTATCATTCAATTTTTACTAACTTGTTAACATATATTAACCAATTTATTCCTCCTAAACACTTAAGTCTTAGTATAATAATCATTCATGTAATGTACATCAATACCCATCATGTTAATGAATTGGTTCTTCATCATGTAATGGCTATCTTGGGGTAAATTTCCATAGCCTCATATGCAGCTAAATGTCAAGAAGTATAATGTGCATCATGTAAACTAATCATTATTTGCCTTTTGTGTAGATTTGGCATCTCTGTTTATGTGGCACTAGTTTTGAAGTGTGAGGCTTTGCATTACTTAGGCTCTGTTGCCCAGACAAAAAGTCCTTGGTCTTGTCTTTACTTCATTCCTCTGGTTGGACAGGCTGGAGACCTTTGTGGGCCGCATCCTTCTTCTGGCTCCTCTGTGACCATTGCAGCCCTGGCATCAGGCCCTTCTCACTCATTGTTCCAATTTCCACCCCTTCCTGAAGCTCCACCACCCCCTATCCCCCTAAAAAGCTTTGGGAGTATGACCAGTAGATGGTTTGAGGCTTTTTGTTGGTCTGTGCAAATGGAGTTTATAGGCATTCTGTACTGCTGCCTGTATGGAATCAGGTTGCAGACCTACTGGTGTCACATTTGTGTCTTTCCTCAAGACTACAGTACGAGGTGCTTTGGCAGGATTTCTTAAAGTTTCTGAGTGTGATGTCTTTCCTGACTTTCTGGATTGCTAGTTGGTGCTTAATGTTTTTGCCTCATATCATTTGGCCTTGGCAGAGCTTCTCATGCTGGTGTTTGGGTTGGCTGTGTCTTTTCCCCATTGCTTCAGTTATCTTGGTTTTCTTTCACCTCCAGCTGTCTCATGCACCTCTGGAACCTTGTTACTCATTGTATTGTCTTAAGATGAAACCCAAAAGAAGATAAAAACTTTAGTTTAGGATTCCCTTTTTAATGTGGCTTTCCTCCTGGGTCTTGCTTTGGGAAGATTCAAACTTTCTGCCAAAAGTGTGAATTTTGTTTTGTTTGGCCAGATAGCATATTCTTCACCTACAACTTTGTGATGTGCTTGGGCATTTGGCACTCAACTGATACTACTACCATGGGGGAGCTCTGCCCTGTTCTGTTTTGAGTTTTTCTTTTTCAGAAAACCTGATGATCCTAAGTGCTTGGGTACTGTATCTTCATTCCGTCATCATACCTCAGCTATTTATATCCCTGCCAAGTGCTATACAGTGGAACCTCGGGTAGCGAGTGTCCTTCTTTACAAATTTTTCGGGTTACAAACTAAGTTTCTTTGGAAAATTCAAATTGGGTTATGACCTTTGCCTCACCTAGTGACTTTGTTGATACACGTAGGGGTCGACCGAGCATGTGGTTCCTGGTGGCATGGGCGAGGCACTCTTCAGTTTACCAGTTTCACCCGCTTAGTGACGATCGCACTTGAATATTGTATTTGGGAGGACAACAGGATAGATGGATGGTAGGGGGGAGGGGAACTGGATGGATGGATGGTAGTGGGGGGGGGGGGGGGACTGGATGGATGTATTCCAGTCACACAGATTTAATGAAAGTCAATCACCTCAAAAGCACACACCACCAGTGTGTGAAGTTAATCTGATGAGTGAGAGATTATTCCTTGGCAGTGTATTGTCCCATGTCCTGTATCTTAATGTGTATGATAGGAGGGAGGTTTCTCAGGCATTCAAGTTCCCTGGCACACTATCTATGGACAATGCATGTCTCTTCCAACCTGGTCCTCTAGCCATCCATTGTGTTGTTTAATAAATGTAATACATGCACCGATTGTTTGTAGAGTCTGGCCATTTAAAAAAATATGGTACCGGCCCCACATGATAACTCGTGTGTTGGAAGTGTTTATAAATGCATATTGATTTTACATCCCTGTTTTAAAGTAACATAGCTATATTGTAAGTAAGGAAATAAAGGATGGGTTTCGATAGTTCATACTCTAGAGTACGGTTTAGAAGTCCGTGCCCTTACACATTCTCTCAGACCCGTGCCCTTACACCAAGGCACGAGCTTCTAAGCCGTACCCTATCAAAACCAGAGTATAACTGTACAGTCAAATTCTCACATTTTTTACCACTTTGGTAAGTAAATATGCTTATATGAATTCATCATATTGTGGTAAACATTAATACTGTACTTTCTCTCTTTGACAGAGCGTATACTTGGACTGTGTGCGTCTTATGCCAGAGATGCTGAGGGAGATAGCTAATCTGCTGGGAGAAAAGGGAATGAGGGTGAGATTGCCTCTAGAGGAGTTGAAAGTCCTCACTGAAGCAGAATTAGACCTTGAAGGTGAAACGGAAGTGAATGCATTATCCAGTGATGAGGAAGAAGATCATGAGGCCAAAGATTAACAGCATCATTAAGACTCTTTCCAGATAATTTAGTTGTGTAATTCTAAATATGAATATGGGATGAATGAAATAATGTCAGTGTTGCATCCTTTGTGTATTGCACCTTGTTTCCTTCAGTGTTGGCTATTCCTAACAGCTTTCCCAAAACATTGCCACTTTTACTGTCTTGCCATTCTTTCACCCTCTACTATTTTCTTCCAAAATTCTCTAATTTTTTCCATGTCAAGCCTTCACTATTATTCCAATTCTTATTGGCCCTCATTTATTTTGCACTACAATTTATTCTCACCCTCATGTTTAACTCAAACTTTTTTCTTTTTGGGTTCACATACCAAAAACTAAAACATGACACATTTGATTTTCACACACCAAAACACTTAATTTTGTATCATACAGAGTTGATACAACATTTTAACAGAATTACCATGTCCTTGAAAACTGTAAAACTATTTTCACATCAGGGAGAAATAATATATGTGCCTTTAGGAATACATGCAATTATTATTTTCCTGGCAATATAAAAACCAATGTTTGTTGACAACCCATCTACAGCACATATATCTATTTTTTCTAGTACATCTTCAGTAATAATTTTGCTCCAAATGAAAATTTAATTATTTTAATATTTTGTGTGCTATTAAAAACATCATGATTAGGATACAAGAAATATTTTTTTTATTTTGTCAAAGGCATGAATAAGTTTATAGACAATAACTATGCTCCTATAAAATAAAAGTACAAGGTATTGTAACATTTTATATATATGCTATTAAAATGTAATGGTTTCTAGGATACAAGAAAATTGTATTGAATATCCAAAGAATGAATTAACTTTACAGAAAACAACAAAATATAAAAATTGCTACAAGATGTACCAGTGTACTGTCTGGTTAAGTGTTAAACAAGCAGTCATCCAAAAATGACAGTCCTGTAGCCACTATGCAAGTACAATGCATGGACTATTGCACCCAAATACAGTATTTTTTTGTATTATTAATTTTGCAGAGAGCCTACAAAAGAAGGCAACCTAATATTACCTAGGCCTAGTATAGTACTATATAAGACCTAGAACACATTAGGTATATGATTAATGTTTTTTGTTATGCCCTTCAGAATTCAAATGCAAAATGTGAACTTTTTGGGTACATCATCATATTTTGTACATTGAACATATAGGTGTGCAATTGATGGAATCAATTTTAAAGGATGAGTTTTGAAACAATGACAGTACAGAGATTAAAAATAGTGTTATTGCATTTGGAACTGACAAAGCACCAAGAATAAATAATATGGAAGAACGGGTAACTTGTGTATCAAAGGAGATCAACTCTAGCTGCTCTACTGGACATGTTAAGATATAATTATAAATACTGTATATAGGGTTTTACAAAATTGCAAACATATGCCACAATTAGAAGACATTGATTTTATAACCCAGTTTTCTTAAGAGCAAAGACTTTAATTCAGAATTTCTATACAGAACATTAAATTATTTAAGAATTTGCAAACATTGCCTGTTTAACATTTATAGAGGATAAAGCTGGGTAAAGGGTAGAAGGAATTTTTATGCTAATAGCAGCATGGTAAGTATAAGTATTCTTGGTGCAAGCAAGGCCTAGTACCATGCACCATATCTACCTGCAGGTCTTTGGCAAGTATTGCCTACCTACCACCTGTTGCAGTGCATCAAATCACAAATGTAATACTGTAGTGTGTGCAAGAAAATAAAATGAAAAGCATAGGAATCAGAAATACATTCACACCATTTCACTAGCTATCATACTCCAAAACTTTTTAAAACAGCAAATCAGCAATAACCATGTATATATTAGCATGTAAAATGCGTGGTATGTGCAATTGTAAGATTTATTTATTCATATCAATATGAGCCTAAAACATGTTCATATAGCAATATGCATACATCTGTATGTACATTTTACATTATATGTTATATTGGAATGTCACTAGTGGTTTTAATGTATCATTTCACCATAGAAAACATAAACAAAGCAAGAAATAAGAAAACAGAATGGAAAGAAAAATTGCAGCACAGCACTTCACCCCATCACTCAATGTGGCAGCAGCAGTCTATTTCACCCTCCAGCCATCAATGCCAGCGAGCTCTATAACCTTAGCTAAACTACAGCACAAAGAATTTATTTTATGATGCTCATTCTGAGCCCAAGGCCTCAGAACATAACTGAAGTGACTGTAGAACTGAATTCACTCTTAAGCCCATTTCTGAATAATGGCTTGAGAGGCCTGCAGGCAGAACTGCTGAAAAGTCCTAGCCCAACTTGGATCAAATAGTACCCATTGTCCAGTCTCTTGCAACCCTGAACCCCTGGAATCACCCTCTAAGTGGAGAAGGTGATGAATTCCAATAAACAATGGAAGCCGAGGAAAATAAGGAAGAAGTGCCTACTTTTGAGACCCCTAAACCACTAACCCCCATCCCTAAAAGGGGTGATGACTAAATCATTCAAATCACCAACCCATCCTAAGACCAAGTCCATTCCATCCAGCGCTCATCCCCAAAGACACATTCATCAATTTTAACATACTGTTCATTCAAAATAGTAGTTTTCTCAAATATAAATTGATATTGTTATATATTAACATAATGTGCATATTTTAGGCATGAGTTAGGTTAGGTGTTTAGGTTCTGTTGATGATAATTTGTATTTGAAATATGTGAGTGAAGCATTTACAGCATTGTGGTTCAAACAAAAGTCGTCAGCGAATCACTTGTTCCAGAAGTGTTCAAACGTCATCAGTTGCGAGTCGTGTGTGAACCATTTTTCATTCATAAAAGGGATTTGGCAGGTGCATGGAATGTACTTTGGCCTTTGTTTATGAGGGCAGGCTGAATTCACAGGAAGAACCATGGAACAAACACTGGGTTATGGCAGTATTGTCACATCTGTCAAGGAATTCTCACTTAAATCAAGAGAACTGCTCACCAATACCTTAGAAACTGGAGAGGACCCCAAGTTAAGGCCATTTAGAATTCCTTGTCAAAGCTGGAGGTATGGAGGAAACATGAGTGGATGCTAGCCATACAAACTGAACTCCTGTACTGTTACAGGAGTTCATTAGGAGGAGTTCATAGAGGTAACAACAAGGAAAGGTCTGGAATGGCATTCAAAAGTTCAGAAACATTGACTTCTATTCCTGAAAGCTGCAAATGATGAGTTATGGATATGTGAGGATATCAACACAATGAAACAAGACTAATAAAACTGTAACAAAATGCTCTGTATCCTCATTAATATAAAAACATGGCAACCAGGCCACCTGAACTCAACAGAAATTGGCTATCCAATCTGTTAATAAATATCAGGAAGCACCATATGTAAAAGTGACGAAGTCAAACCCCCAGAAAATCATGGGAGACATCTCCCATCACACAGGGTGCAATTGCACCTCCACAAATCTCCAGTATCATCTATTGATACTGGTAATGGCTCAAAAGGGCCACCACTTATGGGCTATTCATGCCCGTGCCACCTCTTGGGTGGCTTAATCTTCATCAATCAATCAATCAATCCCAGAAAATAAGTCAGGAAAAGGTGTACATTGCCATGGAATTCACCAAGAATAATCTTATTTACCACCCAAGCAAAATCCCTTAGATGTACAAGACGCACCAAACATTTCCAGACTGAACACAGTAACCTTAACTTCCAACAACAGGTATAATTTGAGGATCAAGTCCAAAGCACTAACTGCACACCAGGAAAGAGCAGAACCTCAGAAGGAAGGGAAGGTAACTATCAGGAGAATGCACAAAGCCATTACAACTCTATATATATAGCACTTGGAAGGGATAAGGATTTGGGACAGGAAAAGAGAATGGTGTTCAACCAATTGGATGGTCGGGGATTGAATGCTGACCTACATGAAACCAGACCATCGCTCTACAGTCCAGCCCCAAACCCAAGAGGAGGAAAGGGGAATACTCAAACTCCTCAGAAGAGATAACTAGTGAGACATCAAAAAAACTTAAGCCAACACCAGGGAAGATAACTTTGAAAAATAAATCAAGGTTAGGCAATTGTTAAGAACACAAGATGAGGAGAATAACCACAATTATGAAGCATCATTATCAAAAATAATTATGAAAGGCATACTGAAAAAATATAAACATGAGACAACCAAGTCCCAAGGAACACTAATCCCACTTAGCTTCAAACACAGAGGTGATCCTTTGCAGAGTAAGAGATGAACAGCTGGTACCAGCATGCAAATAAGGCAGAAAGGTTGAATTGTTGGGGTGACTCAAGCTGCCATCTGGTGGTGCACTTAAATACTAACACAGGGTTTGTTGACATTGGTCAAACTACCACTTTCCTATTTCCATCTTTTTCCTTCTGTAATCAGTATTATTATTAACAATATTTTCTGTGGATAATCTCTAAAGAAAGTTTCTATGTCTGTTTTCCTATAAACATATTCAATAATTTATAAGCCCTCTCTCTCTCTTTTTAATGTATACTTATACTATAAGTACTGTATTATGTTTTTTCTACATTCATGCACCCTTTTAACAAATAAAATAGTGTGTTCAGAGCCAGCTATTATAAAATACAAGGACACCATTTACCAATACCAAAGGACTGTCGTTATCAATTTGCCTTGTGTCAACTACTGTTGAGGCAAGGCAAGTTCAAAGTGAGCAAGATTTTTTCCCCTCTGCCACCTTATCAGCTCCACAACCTTCACCCATTATAACAATGTATAGTATATAAATCTCTTAATTCTTTTATCTTCCCTAACTTAGGCCTAAAGCTCTTCACAGAGCTATAATGTTTTAATAATGTTTATCACTGATATACACATTTAAAACTGGCTCAACTCTTCCTAATTTAAAGTAAAACACAGTAATACTGTATATCTATAGTTTACACTTGATTTATTCATTACAGTATTTAAATCCAATAATATTAAACATATTACAGTGGTATCCAGTGTATAAAATTAAGTATTTGCAGTACAGCATAGAAAATTTGCAGCATTCTTCAAGCCATATATAAGACAAATCAATATACAGGAAAGCTTGCACGAGCTTGCAAGAAAGCTCTTGTATAGTGATTGTTATAAAAAAAAAGTCCTCTCCACCCTGTGAGGTGGGTGATTGGAATGAAGGTGAACTACCGTTGTCACTATACAAGTGACAAAAAAATATCTATTTCTATAAAAAAACACAATATACAAGTACTGTAATGTTGTTCATAAGATTTAAATTAAAAAATTAAAACAACTGACTCAAGAGTAGTTCTATCAATAAACTTTATCTCAATATTACAGACAATCCTTGAAGACTATTCAGTATTTAAGCTAGCAAAGGGAGCACATTTAATATACAGTTTTACCAAATTAAGAAATACGCACTATGATAAACACTGAAAAATTATGTAAAATATATTACAGTACTGTAACTGCAATTGTTATTAAATTAAATAACAATACTGTAAGAACAATAATTTTGTCAGTGATACTAGATTAGATTAAAACAATATGGCATACTTACTTTCAATGTACTTTAATTTTGATCACAGATGGGTATAGGAACAAATGACAAACTTATGTTAGGAGGATGAGAGCTTTTTCCTATCCTATAGCTCATGGTAAGCCTTAACCACTAGTTTCCCTGGAATATGACCTGCCAGTCGTTTGACAACCAGCTACTCAATCATTGCTGTGCAAAAAGAGGCGTACAGTCAAGGATTGGTGCCTAGTCAATCCTCCCTAGCCTGGATACGAACCTAGCCCAAATCGCTTGCGAATTGAGTGTGTTTTATCACTGCATTGCAGAGTACTTGATGTTATCAAACCAAAAAGCGTTTCAAAACTTAAAAATATTTTCTTCTGGAACCTTGGCATCTTTTGCACAGTTCACCATGTCTTTATCAAATGATTTTGTTCCACAAATAAGCACCAAAGTTGCACCTACAGGACCCTTTGCAAGATCTTGACGAACATCCTCCTTTGACAGTCTCCTGGCTACTATCTCTTCACTGTATCTCTTCTTACTTATATCAACCTCTTCACTTAAGTAGTAACTTACAGTAAAATTCCAATATTGGCAGTAACTGGATAACTCTTCACGTAACAAAATGCCAGTGAAACTTTTGGATGCATAATTCAGCTTTATAAAAGTCTCGTCATATTCATTTTCAACAACATTTTTTATTAACTGATACATTGGAGCAATACCAGTGCCAGCGGCTAGCATGAGGATTCTTTTGTAACTGTTTTCCTTGTATGAAAAATTACCAAAAGGGCCTCTCCATGGTACCTTATCTTGAACTTTCCAATCTTTAATAATTGGGGTGATTTTTCCCATTGGATAAATTTTGATGAGAACTTCAAATGATCCTCTTCTGTATATGTCAGAGATTGGTGTATACTGCCTTGTAATAGTCTTGCCATTTTTAACTTGCTTAACGATTAAATGCTGACCTACACTTATGCCTAAACACTGGTCATCTTCTAGCTTAAAGGTGTAAAGATATGTATTATTACTAAGCTCTGTCACTGCAATAATCTCAAACTCATTCCATTTGTCAGGTTGAACAGCACCTGTTATCTGTTGTTTCTCCTCTGTGCCTCCACTTCGAATCAATTCACATTTTCGTTTCCAAACTTTCAAATCTTGCTCATAAATGTCGTGGACACAGGGAAAACATCCGGTGCCACAGCAGTCACTGGGTTTTGGTGCCTGAGGCTTTGGTGGCAGTAAATCTTCAATATCGGGAGCTTCACTGCTTGTCATGATACTTGAACTAGCAGTCAATCTAAATATTATTCAAAACTGATTTAAGGTAATTGTAAGTATCCACATTCATATGCTATACTGTATCTCTTAAGTACAGTACTGTATATCATACTGCTTTTCTTTCGGGTAAATACTGTATTAGAAACTTTCAAATTTTTCACATTAAAGCTAGACTTTATATATTTATTTAAATGACATGTGGCTCAGTAATCAATTATATTCCCTAACATAATGGGAATGTAATAAAATACTAGACTGTGTTACTATCAAAAACAACACCTATCTTAACAAATTAGATAGCAATAATCTCTCCAATAGCCATTACGTATTAAACTGTGCATCTAAATATATTTATAGTACAGTACCTGTATTACATATCCAAACAGTAAATATGGAAGCCCACACATTAGCAGTGTTAACCTTGGCAAAGCTTATGCATATGCTGAGAAAAAAAATTGCTAAATGTTCTACTTTTCTCCATACCTCTGATCCCTAGCACCAAAACACTGTTGATACAGTAGTAATAATATGAACTGATCATTTAGCCAAGATTTATTCAATATGCAGTGTCCAAATACAAGTTTGTCCAATGCTAGCCGATGATACTACTTGCCATCCTCTTACCTCTAATAGATTCAAGACCTTGCGTGGCACCAGTTTCGTAGAGTAACTGAAACTACACAAAATATATATGATTAATTACACTAAATCCATATATACTTGCCTATTATTTGGTGACAATTAAAATTATATCCAGTTATGATGGTTCATTTATAAGAATCTGTCCAGCAAATATATGTACAGTAATAAGGTTTTATTTATTTTCAAATCTTTTCAATAGGTCTACTGAAATAATATTCTGCAACTCTTGATTCATCCCAATTTGCCACCATAAATTAACATAAAGTGTAGATACATTATAAACATTGTGGGTGGAAAAATAGAGCACTTAGCATAATGAAACACCCCTGTTTGGGGGCTCCTTACAGTTTATGCACTGGTACCCCAGGATAAATAGCATCTCTTGAAGTGTCTCAAACTTTCTGATGACCTCCTCGTAGGGGGCCTCGTAGCCTGGTGGATAGCGTGCAGGACTCGTAATTCTGTGGCGTGGGTTCGATTCCCGCACGAGGCAGAAACAAATGGGCAAAGTTTCTTTCACCCTGAATGCCCCTGTTACCTAGCAGTAAATAGGTACCTGGGAGTTAGTCAGCTGTCACGGGCTGCTTCCTGGGGGTGGAGGCCTGGTCGAGGACCAGGCCGCGGGGACACTAAAAGCCCCGAAATCATCTCAAGATAACCTCCCTGCAGCAAAGACCAGAATCCTGCCTCCTTACAAGGGAAGAAGAACTGAGTACTGTATGATGGACACCACACAAAAGAAAAAACCTGCCAAAAAGTCTGAAATGGAGTCACAAAAACTCAAAACACACCAAGAAATGTTTTAAACAAATGTCAATAAAATTACAAACAATTCACATAACCAAAAAATAAAATTCAGCTATTTTTCCTTCCTGCCTCCAGATGGTAGGCATTAGTCTGCTATAGGTTTGTCACCACTCATCGGAGTTAGAACTACTGGACAATAATCCAGAGTACATGAAGGCAATGCAAGAAATCCTGATTGAGTTTTGAGTTGGAAGACTTAGGACTCCTAGGGGATTCAGTGGAATCCCAGGTTGCATTAGGTTTACCATGTTGTGATGTAGTGTTCTAGGGCATTTGCTTGGAAGTACCAAGTGAATGGGTTTGAATCCTCCTCATGGCTCCAACTGATTTTTCCAGCATTACTTAATTGTGGTTCAAATTTGCCACAGACATCCTTTAATGGAGAAAAAATATTGTCGATGTTTGTGATTTGAAGCCTCTGAAATCTCCAAATACCAGTGTATTTGTCTATCATCTCAGAGAATGTGATTCGAGTAAGCTTAGGGATTATAATGAGACAAATGGAGTCAGTGTAGTCTCTATCAATAAAATTTCTAAAAATTAAAATCGGTACATCTCTTATGCAATTGATGTTAATGAAAGGTACATGGATACTGTGCTCTGTGACAGTTTCTAACCTGTAGGGGTAAACTTTAGGCCGTGGGAAGGTAGAAAACCCAGGATTAACCAATATAAAAATGAAGAATATCCTTGAAGACTTTAAAGGTTCAACCCTACAATGTATGAATATGTCAAAAAACTTTTTCGAATGTGTGATATTCTTGTTTTGCAAGAGCACTGGTTTAAATCTTATGAATTTGAAAACCTTTCCAAATCTGTTGATGGTTCTTTTGACAGTGCCAGCACTGAAATGACTTGTCAGGTCGGGAAGACCCTTTGGTGGAACTGCTATGCTGTGGCATAACATGCAATGAAAAGTTGATACTGTCAGTACCATAACAGGACACACTACAGCTGTAGTGGTACCTTGGTTTACGAATTTAATCCATTCCTAGAGACGGGTCGTAACCCGAAACAAATTTTTCCAAAAGAATTAATCTAAATTGAATTAATTTGTTCCACAATCCCAAAAATATTAACTTCAAAATACACTTCATACATAACACAAATATTTTGTACTATAGTATGTACAACTTATAGTTTATCTTTATTGATAACTTGTTGGCATATGGAAGATGGTGAGGAGGGGGGGAAGAGAGGTGTTTTTTTTTTAGATATATACAAGAGTTGTTACATTCTTGTACAGCCACTAGTACGCGTAGCGTTTCGGGCAGGTCCCTGGAATACGATCCCCGCCGCGAAGAATCGTTGTTACAACCAAGTACACATTTTACTGTTGCGTTAAACAGAGGCTACAGTTAAGGATTTGCGCCCAGTAAACCCTCCCCGGCCAGGATACGAACCCATGACAAAGCGCTCGCGGAACGCCAGGCGAGTGTCTTACCACTGCACCACGGAGAAGAGCCATAAATAGCCGAAGAGAAATAGGGAAGAGCCTTGTCAAAATCAAGCAGAAAAATTCATGACCAAAAGAATGCCAAGCCCTTAGAAAATAGAGGACATAAGAGGAAACTTATAACTGACACGACCAAACTAGACAGAGGTTAGGAACTGAACAGCCATCACTAACAATTATGTGAATAAAATGTGGTAACTGCTATAGACTAATAAATACTGTACTGTATATATATATTAATACATATATATACAGTACTGTACATATATACATATCCTCAAATTATGCTACAATGTACCTGTTGATAACCCTTCAGTGTACCTACTATCTTGTCAAATTTTTATACAATGTATTTTTGTATACTTTTTTACAATGTACTTTTTATACTTTCTTACAATGTACCTGTAAACATTTTTTTTCAATTTTGCTAGAAATTACCTACATAAAATTATCTGTTGGATTAAGGACCTGCCCGAAATGCTATGCGTGCTAGTGGCTTTACAAGAATGTAGAACATCAATACTATGTACTCTCATAAACCTAATGTACCTTTTTGTATATAAATAAATATACAGTATATATACTGTACATATATATACATACTGTATATACAGTACATACATACACACACAATGTAGCAGAGTTACCTCTTAGAAGTTGGTTCTGTTATTACTTCTGCTTGAAGATAATTCATCAATTCAAGGTCACTTTCACTATCTCCAACATAAGTTGGACCAGTATCCTGCAAATATTAAGGAAGTACAGTAATGTGCAAAACAAGAGAAACATGAAAATAAATTGGATTAAGTTTGAGATGCATATTAATTAAAAGAGCATCTGATACAATGCATGCAATTTTATGAAACAATAAAATTTTAAAAATTCTTTTAGCCTGTCTATGGATATATGTATTCCAGGCAAGACTTTTTACAAAAAAAAAAAAAAAAAAAAAAAAAAAAAAAAAAAAAAAAATACTTATGTATGATACTCATACATATAAACCTGTATGCTTTTCCTAGCTGAATATAGAACTACAGTACTGACAGCTTTATTTTTTCTAAAATAAAATTCTATATTTCTAAAACAGCCAATCATGATATGCATCCTTGTCTCCTTGGCTATATCATACATATCTCACTATTCTTAAACATGCAAATTCTATCTAATAATGCAAATAATAATAATAAAAAAAAAGTCTCTTTGACTTGAAGTGGTGGGCATCTAGGCCACGAGGATGGACTGGAATGCTGGCACTCCGGGTCAAGCTACAGACACACGCTGGCGCTCCGGGTCAAGCTACAGACACACGCTGGGGCTCCGGGTCAAGCTACAGATATGTGTCTGTTACAGTAACCTGGACTGAGCTACACAGCAGTAACAGTATAGGACTTAAGTGTGGGAGTGGTGGAGGATTAGGTTATTACACTCTGTATTACTACTCCTCGGTGTCTACCAGTTTGTCAACCTAAACTCTGGGGATCCTACATCTGCCTGATAGGAACAAACACTAAAATTCTACACTGTATTTTGAATATAATAATATTTAAATATAAGCATATTTCTTTTAGAAAAAAATTTCTTTACAATCCTCATAAAATAAACATACACATGGATGTAAAAAATATTGGTCATACTCTTTCTCTCGAAATGTTTATTTGTAGAATTTGATGTTGTTAACACAGCCCAACTTCCAGCCCAAGCTGTAAGTCAAATGTTGACCTGAAGATATTAACAAATCAGTAACAGACCCATACATTATGAATTAAAACTGCAATTTGTTGATATTGGGTTATATTAACATATGCACTTGCAAGATGTATGCACTTGCATGATATAAGCATTTTCTGATGTGTATTGGACATCGCATCTTCAGCCACATTATTGTGACTTCATCTGCATGAAAGCAGAGGCTAAGTTTTATTTTAGCCGAGACAGCTGAGTGGACAGCGCTTCAGATTTGTAGTCCTGAGGTTTCGGGTTCAATCCCTGGTGGAGGCAGAGACAAATGGGCAAAATGTTTCTTTCACCCTGATGTGCCTGTTACCCAACAGTAAATAGGCACCTGGGAGTTAGACAGTTGCTACGGGCTGCTTCCTGGGGGTGTGTAACAAAAAGGAGGCCTGGTCGAAGACCGGGCCTCGGGGATGCTAAGGCCCGAAATCATCTCAAGATAACCTCAAGAAGAAGACAAAGGTGACATTTTGGTTTGGTTTTGTAATTATCATCAAAAAGGCACCAAGCCGACTCGTTTTGCTAAACGATTCATGAAATGTTTTAAACCACCGATGTCTGGAGACAGGCAACCTTACCCTAAGAAGTACACCTGCAATAAACACATCCACAATCCTTAGGTTTGGTTAGTATATATTATTTTAAAAGATTGACAAGGTAAAAAGGGAACAGTGCATAACATTTTCAGTGGGTTTACTATTGAAAATGGCCCTGACTATTTTAACTATCTCTGGACTGCTGGTCTTCCAGTACATCATGGCAAGTCACATGAGGCTTTACATTCAATATACCAAGTCAAAAATTTGTACAATTTATAAGGGGACCTTTGACAAGACACTGGCTTCTTGTCCCCACTGTAGCCACTACACACAGGGCGGTCCACACGTATACTGAGGTAAATTTATAGTGACATAAGCCTCCATATGCTACTCACCAACTTAAGCTGAGTTGAAATTAACAAATAAGGCATGCTTGTGGTGGCGCCTGTGCTAGACACACAGATACTTGGGGCTGGGATATCTCTCACTATTATCAGCTATCGTGTTCCTCCTGTTATCTCAGCTGTTAACGAGGTCGTCCTGCTGGCCTAGGCCTTGACTAACGTCTGCTTCTGATTATCTGCGCTTCAGGGGTGACCGTCCTCTGCTTGCCTGTGCTTCAGGGTGGTGTCCCTGATGTCAATGCTTTAGGGTGGTGTCTAAGCTTGATGTCAATGCTTCAGGGTGGTGTCTAAGCTTGATGTCAATCTTTCAGGGTGGTGTCCAAGCTTGACGTCTATAACTGAGACCGAAGACCGGACTGTAAAGTTTATGTTACACGGGACCCGTTCACACCTGCTCCTCCTCAGGCAATTTTGCACAACCTGAACCTAGTCTGCTCTGACCCCGCTAGCTACCCACCTGACGGCAGTTAACCCGATGTCTCCATGTCCCCGCGGTAGTGGGTCATCGCTGCTAGAGACCTAGGGAGGCTGGGGCTACCGCTGGTGCCAGGATAGTGAAGGGGAACAACAGTGCCACTAGAGGCACCTTATGGAGAGGTTGAGGCGCCCACTGGCCTCACAGTGTTGCTGTCTCAGACCCTGTTTATTTTTTATTTTATTTTATTTTTATTTATATATATACAAGAAGGTACATTGGGAATATACTGTTGTTACTGTACTGTATCTGTTGTTACTGTTACTGTACAGTATATCTAATATACTGTACTGTTGGAATATAACCAGTCTGTCAATCGGGTCAACCCAAGTGTTGCGTTTCCATGCGTTTCCAAAAGGGTCGCCCATGTTGGAATCGGTGAACGCCCTAGTAATATTGTTGTAAACATCGTAATAACTTATTAAACCAAAGGTCTTTTTATGTCAGAAGAACGGCAGAAACTAGATCTATATAAAAAAAAAGGCGGGAAACGCTGGCGGGTGGCACCGGCTCCGACACTGCTGCTGAAAATTCGTGTTAATTTCGTCTCCACTCAACGTTGCATGGCCTAACTGCTGCCCAGCGCGAGTTAAGTGCATGGAGACTTAATATGCCATAACTCACAGTGAACCCTAACAGTAATCAACCAAAATTAACCATTTTTCGCCTGCCTATCTACGACCCTTCTGCCAAGCGTTCCCCATGCGCCCATCCCTACTATAATTCATCAAGTATCTACCTTTAGAAACACTACCAAGAATCTATCGCCGAAAACATGCCCAAACATAACAACAAGCAAGGTAGGGGTGCCTCTCGCTCTGGATCCATTACTCCTAGAGATCTGAATGGAACACTGGCAACGCTGCAACCCTCGCCCATGTTGGTAAACACAGCATCCGCTCCCCCTCCTCACTCCGGATACAAGACACTCCGTACATTGACAACATCGCACACTAATATTTTTACCACTTCGGACACCAGCTTTAGACGTTTCGCATATGTGTACGTGTTCCATATTAAAACGACAATATAATGCTATTAACAATTAAAATCTTCTATTTAACAGGCATATAGTTATTAAATGAAGTTTAGTGATGTAATAGACATAATCCGGAGTTGGTAAGGACGCCGCCCGCCAGCGTAAACACAACACACCCGAATGCCCACAAACACGATACAACGCACAAAACACAACACTTCTGTCAGTTTTTGGATAAACTCCTTTTATATTTATTATGTGAGAGTTATACATGTATAAAATGATAACTATTATAGGTAAGCGCCTAATATTTAATATTAATCAATAAAAAAGAAGTCAGAAGCCACACGCCTGTCTGTACATGTCTTTTGTGTAAAAGTATTTTGGGCACTCATGTACTTGTGCGCTAGCTGGCGTTCACAACTGTTCTCGCCTACAAGCATTAGAATTAAACAAACATTTATTTTTTCATTTATATACAAGAAGAGAAGGCTACCCTTGAGTCTGTAATATTCATCTGATCACTGGTCTCCCATTTGGTCCTCATTGCTTTATCTTACTATTATTGAATGTCAATAACCGTATTATGCAATTTCAATTTCTTCTATTTCTTTCTTTATTATGCACCCCATACCCATCCCGTGGGCAGTGGTGTAAAGGATTACAGAGGCACATAATCAGTTCAGGAACTGAACCCTCTAGTTCGTTTAGCTAAGCAAATAACAATGTTTGACGCTAGTTACAAAATTATTAATGTTGTATACACATGTACACACACTCATACATATATATATATATATATATATATATATATATATATATATATATATATATATATATATATATATATATATATATATATATATATATATATATATATATATATATATATATATATATATATATATATATATATATATATATATATATATATATATATATATATATATATACGTATACATATATACATACACATACATATTTAATCACCTACACAAATACACACATCAATAATCTTTGTGTCACAGGTGATCAACAAGAGGCTCACAACAGTCACTATAAAAGGCACTTTGCATCTATAGTGAGTCACACAGTTACTAGTCTTGCTGCAAACCCACCCAACTGGGCGGCAGCTTTACAGTCATGTGCTCCACACCCACCCACACCCACCCAACTGGGCGGGAGTTTTACAGTCATGTGCATGCATTACCTACAGTAAGCAAATTTTGGATTCTTCGCTAAGATTTCGGGCAGCATATCATTATGAATGAAGTACTTACACATTTCATTATGCAACTTTAATAAAGTTGTCCTTCAGCCTTTTGTAGTGTTCAGCTACCCTTATCTTCTGTATGTTCCTCACATTACCAGTATACACAAACATTGACATGTAGGGATAGAGACTCTCAGGTAAGTTAGTAATTTAAATGCACAGTAGCAGTCCTAGGCGTTCAATCCCCGACCGCCGTCCAAGTGGTTTGGCACCATTCCTCCCCATCCCATCCCAAATCCTTATCCTGATCCCTTCCCAGTGTTAAATAGTTGTAATATATATATATATATATATATATATATATATATATATATATATATATATATATATATATATATACTGTATATATATATATATATATATATATATATATATATATATATATATATATATATATATATATATATATATACTCTTCACACCTTACTCTGTACCCTTACTCTTCTGTCTTCCAGTGTCATGAGGTGCATTTCTCGCAGCCTGTCCTCGTAACTCATGCCTCTTAGTCCTGGGACTAGCCTATTGGCATACCATTAAACTTTTTCAAGCTTCGTCCTGTGCTTGACAAGGTGTGTGTGTGTGTACGTGTATAACACACACGTACTTATGTGGTACGTATGTACTACATAATTGTAAGGCGTTTGCTGAATTAGAAAAGTCGGCTAGCAGTCCACCCTTAACGACACAATTAACTCATTACATAAAAAAAATACGTGGCTGTGCAACAGTGTGTGGGAATTGGGGAACTGGTGTGCATTTAGACGACTGGTGAGGACCAACAATGACGTAGAAGGATGGCACCAGCGTCTGAATCAATGGGCAGTGAGGGACAACTTGGCTTTATATATTTTAATCCCCTTACTGTACCGTGAGGCGTCCCTGGTAACCTTGCAATACCAACTGGTTTCTGATCAAAAGCTAAAGTCCAGTCGCCGCAAGAGCAATGAAGAGAAACAGGAACATTTGTGGAAGCTTTGGGACCGTTACGAGGAAAAACAGATAAGCACCTCACAGTTCCTCAAGGAATGTTCGCGTTTTATCCCAGGAAGTGCCTGAACTAGAATTAGAAAACAGCAGTCTGTTTACTGGTTGTTATTTAACTTAAGTTAGTTGTAAATGATAATGTAAAAATAGCCACTGAGAACTGATGAGTTGCCCAAGACTTTTGCTCGTAAAGAGGGAATTGATTACAAACTTGGACTGCCTTTGAGCAGCCTGAGGGCAGCAATATCCCAGGAACATCAGCTAAATTTCGGAGACTTGAAGCAAAGTGAAATTCACACCAGTTACTCCATCTATCATCATTCTATTATGCAGGAAGAACCGCACGTCTATGGGTCATCCAATAATGTTAGCAGACTTCTAGATGTTACCACTGCTAGGCTTAGGTTCGGCTACAAGTACCTCTGGGAGTTTGTAACATCTGCTGATGTAGATTTGACTAAATGTAAACTCTGTCAGCAGAACTATTCGCTTACTTTGCGCCATTATATAATGGAATGTGAAAAAATCGCGGAATTTAGGGATAACACCATCAATAGTGTCCAAGAAATGTGTAAGTACTTCATTCATAATGATGTGCTGCTCGAAATCTTAGCGAAGTATCCAAAATTTGCTTACTGTAGGTAATGCTGCACATAACTGTAAAGTTGCCGCCCAGTTGGATGGGTGTGGAGCAAATGACTGTAAAGCTGCAAGACTAGTAACTGTGTGACTCACCATAGATGTAAAGTGCCTTGTATAGTGACTGTTGTGAGCCTCTTATTGATCACTTGTGACACAAAGATTATTGATGTGTGTATTTGTGTAGGTGATTAGATATGTATGTGCATGTATATATGTATACGTATATATATATATGTACATGTATGTATGAGAGTGTGTACATGTATATATATAATATTAATAATTTTGTAACTAGCGTCACAAATTGTTATTTGCTTAGCTAAACGAACTAGAGGGTTCAGTTCCTGAACCGATTATGTGCCTCTGTAATCCTTTACACCACCGCCCACGGGATAGGTATGGGGTGCATAATAAAGAAAGAAATAAAATTGAATTGATCTGATTAAGATTTTATGACTATGTAATCTATGTTTTGCTCCACTACTTACTGGTTGAGTATGGGGTGCATAACAAATAATAGCCTCCTTCGGGGGCGCCTTGTTTCTAAACGTGTTAGTCTTAAATCCTTTAATCTCAAATCTTGCTACAATGTACCTCTTAATATATGTTATGTACTCTCGCAACCCAATGTACCTTCTTGTATATAAATAGATTTCAACTGTAAGGGGGTATGGTTTGCACCTTGTTATTCTAATAATGGATAAATAATTCTAATAATGGAAGCGCTAATTATATGAACAAATGCCATGTATTTATTCAGATGATAACAACAGCGAACACAAACCAGCGCATATACGAACGGAATGGTTTGTATGTACAAACTTCTCAGTGAACGAAGTTGTTTCTAGCCCGGTATCCGAAATTGCAGTATACGACTTGACCAGTCCCCGTTGGGGATATAACCAGTCTGTCAATCGGGTCAACCCAAGTGTTGCGTTTCCATGCGTTTCCAAAAGGGTCGCCCATGTTGGAATCGGTGAACGCCCTAGTAATATTGTTGAAAACATCTTAATAACTTATTAAACCAAAGGTCTTTTTATGTCAGAAGAACGGCAGAAACTGGATCTATATATGAAAACTCTTTCAGGACAAAATTTAAAGTAAAACTAGATTATGTAAAACTAGATTAAAGTAAATTTATGTTTCTATCTTTCTTGAGACGTATAAAAATCTTACGTTTATTAACGATTCTGCGTGAAATAAGCATTGTTCTGAGATGAATATTGCGGATTTCCGGCTCTACGACCGATGAAAAATGCAACTTTTATACAACTTCAA